TGGTAATTTTTGACTGTGTAACTTTACAAACGGCTCCTCATACAAAACTCACACTGTTCTGAAAATATTCTGATTCTGAAGCAACAAAAACCAAAACAAATTAAAGTTTTTGCATCACGAGTTTATGTACTTCCACCATTTAATAAAATCTTATTTTGATTCTTTTGATGTTGAATAGATCATTTTGTTTCTTTTGCATCATTTAAAGTTATTTTTAATTTTCTTTATGTTTTGTTTGTTTTTGTCGTCCTTTTTTTACATTAAATTCTTTCTCTTAGTTTGAATTGTCTGCAGTTGGTTTGCATCTCCAACCATTTTCAGTCTTTTTGTTTGTTTTTATTTGTTGTTTTGTGTGTGTGTGGGTGGGGCGGGGGTTGTTACTTTGCTGTTTCTTGCTGTTTTTTATTCACACTGAGTCAGCGGGTCCAACAGATCCATCTGGAACCTGGACCTCTGATTTGAGAGCCACATCAGTCCTCTGGCTCACCTTCTCCTCCTCCCTTCCTTCCAGGATCTACATGGAGAGCGGCTTCCCCTACAGCCCCCCGCAGCCCACCATTCGCACCACCAAGACGGAGCTCTGCTCCTTCACCAAGGACGACAACACGGCCACGGGGGCCGTGGGGGTCCTGACCTACGACCTGTTCAACATGCAGAGCCGGCAGTGCACCGAGCTGATGGCCGTCATGTTCTCGGTGCCGTTCGACCACAACTTCTACAAGAACTGTCTGGGCGTGGGGATCTTTGAGCACGCGCGCGCCTGCGACAAGAAGCTCTTCAACCTCATGTACGGCGACAAGGACTTCACCAGCTTCGTGCGTCACGAGGCCAACGGCTCCGGGGTGATCTTCAAGGGCCGGTACCTGGACGTGAGGGCCACCATGTCCGACGAGGGCAAGGCCATCGTTAAACTGGAGCTGTACGACAAACTGGGCAGATGAACTGTTCGTAACAACAGCTTTCATCATCGCAGGTTTGAATCAATAAAAAAACTATTAAAACCACTTCTTGTCTCTGACGGTTTCTCCTTTTAGCCCACGAGAACAAAATGATGAATAAAAACGTAGCATCAGGAGCAGACGTTGCACATTGGTTTGGACAGTCAGACAGAGACAGGTGTGGTTCGTGAGGAATGTCTCAGGTATGAGACGAGCTCAACAAACCAGCTCGATATTTGGAAAGAAAACGCATCCAGAACAAGAAAATCCGCTGACGACTGCATGTTTTTTTCTTTAGGCTATGTTTCTGAAAACGGCTAAAGATTTGAAAGATTTAGAGGTATTTAGATGAATTCCAGGAGGAGACAAGCTACAAAATTAAAGTCTGAAACAACTTGGTGTAAATGAAATTAACAAAATATAAAATAAATAGAAATATATTCTGAAATATGACAAACTCAGAGTCTGAAATATATAGTATAGATGATATGATTGATGCTATTTTTTCCAGCAATAAGAGGCAGTGAATATTACAATGTAGAGCAATTTAACAGCACAATAACAGCTGAGGGTCTCACCATTATACATTTTAATAGTAGAAGTATAAATGCAAATTTATTTAATGTAACAGATTACTTAAAACAGCTAAAYAAAAACTTCAGTATAATAGCACTTTCAGAAACTTGGTTGAATGATGGACAAACAAGTAATATTTACATTGAGGGGTATAAATGGTACAAATAAAAATAATAAACCAGGTGGTGGAGTGGCTCTATTAATTAATAA